AACAATATCTAATACCGTGAGACATATGTCTCTCTCATTTAAAGCTTTTACTCTAGCAAAGGTTGTTGGTGGTATGGAAAGGTCAACTGCAATGTTTACCATTACTCACACGGCTCGCAGCCCATTTGCAGGCGTTCTTCTGCTGCTGATTGACCCGTAATTGCCACTTTGTTTGCGTTAACAATGCTGCTGCTGATTTGTAGATCCGTGCAAGCTTGTTGTTGCTGTCCAAATATGTGTGCGCTATGGTAAAAGCCATTGATTTCCACTGACATTTGATTTTTGCTCTTTTTTTTTTTGTAAATTCTACCTTTAATCATATCATATGGCTTCGCTACCCACTCTGCGCTAGCCTATACTTGTCGATGTTTGGTCCTTTCCGCACAAAAACACACATCTGCAGACTCGTGTCAAAAGCATCGCTGCATGTCACTCGAATTGCACACAGTGTGCCCTGTTGCCCGCATTGTGCGCCGTGTACGCACCACTTTCCACTCGGCGCACTCGGCTGCAGTTGTCAGCAGCAAATTGCCACACATGTGTTCTCTTGTTTGCTTTGCACCGCGTTGTTGTTTTTGCTTGCTGCATTATGTGTTACAATGTTAGCTGCATTTTACTGCATGTGACAGCCGTCCTTCCTCCTCCTTCCCCGCATGGCTGCACTTTCCGCTGCGCATTCAGCTGTCGCAACATTTCACTATTTTTCTGTTTGTCTGTCTGTGTGTGTGTGTGTATTTGTGTATGTTGGTGCGTTGCCCTTGTCGGCGTGTGTTTTCCCGTTTGCGGCTACATCTAATTTTCCATGTAAATTTGAATTTGATTAGTCGTTGTTGCAGTTGCAGTCGCAGTTGTTGCACGTCGAATGGTGCATTAACGACCGAGAGTGCTCCTGAATATGTGCGTATGTGTGTGCTTATGTGAGCATTTATTCAAATGTGACGTGCTCATTGGTTGGAAACGGTTCCATCTCTATTGATGCGCTCACAGTACGGGGGTGTTCGCCGGCTTAGTGGGTTCCGTTGTTCCGTTGCGGCTTTTCTGCATTTCCGTTGCGTGCTGCTGTTTCTTGTATGTCAACATTTACATTTTCTCGTAATTTATTGTAATGCTGTTGTTTACATACGCTTAGTCACATGACAGTAAACCCAACGATTGAAGCATAAATATTTAATTTTGTCTTCTAAAGCGAAATATTCGGTTTCATTTCCGGTTTTGTAGTGAATACCGGAACTATTTCCATTTGTCAGCGCTAGAAGCTTTTGATAAACTTCGGTTTAGGTGAAATTGTAGTTAATTTTTTAATCTGTGCTGAAGATTTAGGTGTGTACTCAAGTTAAGGGTTACACCTAGTGTAAAGGGTATAACTACTATATAATCGTACATACATACTTTAAGAATACACAGTAAAATTTTTGATGAATAAAATTAAATACTTTTCAAGTTACACGCGGCCTCGGATAGCGCAAATAAACAGGTCTTCAACCGCTACAGTGATTCTGGCAGTCACCTAAAAACAAAATTCTCTATTCGAAGACATTGTTCATACAATGACTCACGGTCAAAAAAGCAACTCAAAAGTTGACAAAAGTGGGGCGTTTTTAAAAAAAGTTGAAATTCACCTAAAATGTTGGTCGTTTTGCCTGTCAAAATTCGATTTTTGATCAGTAGGTCAATGTATGGAGAACTCTATACAGAACATGCAGAAAACATGTGAGAGTGATCAAATCATTTGTCTGCGAGTAATCACTGCAGCAAATTTGAAAAAAATGGTTTTAAAAAAAAAGGGTTTTGGAAAGCTGTAGTTCGAAAAATATTTCAAATATCGATTTAGAATTTACAATGTAATTTTTTAAAGCATCACCTATTGAAAACTTAAAAAAATCGATTTTGACCCACCCGTAAAACTTCCTAAAAGTAATTTTGACAGCGATTTCAAATCAAATCTAACTATATATATTCTTCGGATTATTTCTGCTTTTTGATGCTAATATTAATACTATGAATAGGGCTTACGCATTAAATTAAATTGGTTTTGTTTTAGCTTTTGATTTGGATTTTTATTAGAGCGAAATAAATCGCCATCAACATAGCAAATTTAATTAACTTTATATAAATAAAATATGTGCTAAAGTTGGCAAGTCACACGTTTTGTGCACAAAATGCTATCGTCATAAACACACGTCGAACAAAACACATTTTACTATAAATTACGCAGCACTATAAGCACACCGCGCGTTCACACACACGAGTATATCACCGACTTGAGCTTATTGCGCGTAATGCTTTGAATGCGTATTGGCGGGAAGCAAGGCAGACATTTTGTGCTTCAAGCTGCTACTTTACAAGTTAAAAATCATTTATGATAAGCGGATACTGAGCTCAACGGATATATCTGTCATATACATACGAGTATATACTTATATAGATATGTAATGACAGTAAAAACACTCCAAATTTACTCTTCAAAGTTATAAATAACTGTTTTTTGGCAGATATATGTTAACGCAAATAAGCTCAGAGCATTTCCTTACTAATACCTGTGGAATAAAATATTGCGTCTACAACTACATTCGTGCAGTTTGCCAACAGATGTTGCAACTTGAGGTTTATTCCATTGTTCCAATATTCCGAACATGTGTTGCAAAGCTATTGTTCTTATACGTCTTTTTCAGCATAATGCATTCGAAGCTCAAACAAATACCATGTATCCAATTTTATGCTTGAAAAAGTGTTTTTGCGAGCGGTTCTTCTTCATTATCTTAATTTGAACAAAACCTTAACCGAAAGTCATCGTACAGGGTATCAACCATTGGTATGATTCATTCTTGGCCGCCAAGCCGGCGCGATTCTTTTGGAATGGATTTCACAAATTGATAGAAAGATGACAAAATGTTATAGCTTCAGATGAGCAACACTTTATGGAAAACTATTGTACATGTTTTCTTAAATAAACATTACAATTTTGAAAACAAAAAATATGATTTATTAAAAAATTAAAACAAGTAAAAATTTTTGTTAAAAAAACGTTGGAAATCGGCAATAGTTATTAAGAGGAAATTTAAACCGATTGCATTCATTTTCAATACTAGTTCAGCCTTCGAAAAGAAATATATATGTTGTTTTATAGGAAGTAATTGTTATTAATTTTTATTTTATTTCAAATTTTTCGCTTCGCTTTTTTTTATTTTATTGTTCCTTATCTCTCCCAACATTTCGCCATAAATAAAAATGAGCTTTTACTGCACTGCTTTCATTGTACATGTACGTATGTATAAGCCTGTACGCATATACATATGTGTTATACAATGTGTGCTTTATTCCCGATTTCCTGTATGAACATATGCCAACAAAGGAACTGGGAAGTGTATGCGTTTGCTATGACATGTTCCAATGGTTTTACACATACTAATGTGAGCGTGTACATGTCAACTCCCCCTAAATTCCGTGCACTCGCTCCATTTCCGCACCTCACAATTTCCATAATAATAATGGCAAAGAGGAGCTTATGTAATAAAATAGAAATTAAGTTACCCATGCCACACGATGTCCCAGCGTATGCACATATACGCCAACATGCTGTATATATGTATGGATATGTGCAGTTACCTCCATGTCGAAACGAAATAATGGAAATTGCATTTGCACAACGCTTTTGATTTGATTCATTCGACGCGTGTGCGGAGCCGAGCTGAGTGGCTTGTTCGACGTTCTTTTCACATATTTTGTTATTGTTATTGTCAAACGTTCGGCGTTGGATTGTCGAAGCAAGCGTTTGATGTGCAACCTGACAGATGTATTGTTGCTAGTTGGGGGCGTCACTGCGTGCATGTGTGTGTGTGTTTGTTCGTTGAGGCAAAGTCTCAATTTCAATTCATGCGCGAATAATGCAGAATACAATACATAATAAATGTATTGCTGGGGACTGCGTGTGTATTGTGCACGCACACGTACACCGGAAGTAGCTCATTGTGCATACGAAAATAGCTTAAATTTTACTTTGGAAACATCGTCTTTGCACCTCACCAACAACAACTCACTCCCACGTATTTGCACACTTACATATGTACACTTATTGAAGTGTGCTTGTCTGTGATCTGAAACTTCGCTCATGCCCGTTTCTCATCAAAGAGCTGCTGATTGTCGGAACCGCCAATATCGAACAACTATATGTTATAGCTTAGCTGCCATAGAAACTCACTGCTCAAAATCTAGTTTTTTTATTGAAATCTTTTTTATTTAACAAAATATCTTCACGAAATTCAGCACTAATTATTGAACAAGACAGCGCTAAGATCTCCCAACACATTGCTCAGATCGGATCACTATAACATATGGCTGTCATACAAACTGGCCGATAAAACTTAAATTCTTTAAGACTCTGAGCACTTTGTGTTTCCCGAACTAAAATGCAATGCTGTGTAAAAAACCGTTACGCTAGCACAACACCAGGAGCGCTGCGCCCAATCACCTCCTTCTACATTTCACCGTCGCGCATACTTTTTTGTTAGACATAAAATGCGGCTATTAACTCGTGAATCTCTGCGTGCAACATTTGCCCGAAACTAACGCAATAACGATGCATCAAGGTGAACATATATTGCCGTTAGCCTGCGAATGTCCGCGGTTTTTATTGCATAAATTCCTCACTTGCGTTGTGGCAGATGGTGCTATGTGGCGATTGGCAAGTCGCGCGCAAACTATTTGCATGCCAATAAGTGTGCAACAACAACAAAAATACATGTGCGAATACATAGTTGGGACAATCAATAACAAATACCCGGCGTGTCGACACGCTGGTCGCAAATCAGCGGAGTGTGCGTGAATATGTGTGCACAGGTGTGGTGGCTGACATGGTCATAAATAGCTGAAAGTGCTAGGAACAATTGCATGCGTTGCTGGTGGCACATTTATTTCGCTATCTTCGATATTCAATATTACAAACAAAAAAACCTTTCTGACCCTCTCTGAATACTTTGTATTTCATTTGCCTCTCCTTGCAGACGCTCAACAGCAGCAACAACAATATCAACAACAACAAGTCGGCGGTAAGCATCAACCAAATGGCAGCGTCATGACTGGTGTGAGTGCCCAGCAGCAACATATACGAGCACCACGCCCACCAATACGCACAGCCTCCTCTGCGCTCACCAGTGGCAGTGGCAATGGCAGCGGCAGCGGAGGGGTCGTCAACAGTGGTGGCGTGGTAGTTAGCGGCAATTCGGCCATTTTGAACAATCTCATCGATCAGACGCCATCGAACGGTAGCAGTAGCAGCGGCGTCAGCAGCGCACCCTCCAGTAAAGGTCACTCACATCATCACCTGCATGCGCATGCGCACTCGAACGCCATTGCCGACAGCATCGGTCTGACGACCACAACGTCAAGCGGTAGCGGCGGCGGCAGCAACAGCATACATGCCCAGCAACAAGTGCCACAGGCGGCGATCGATGAGATGCGCGTCTGATAGGTGTCGGTATTCGAGCTGGAATTATAGTCTTCTTGGTGAGTGCAATTAAAATACATACAAATTTATAGCTTATCAAAATGTGGCGATTAATTAGAAATGCTACATATTACATCTAGCCCTACAGTCATCTTTAACATAAAATTGTGCTTAATAGCACACAGTTATTATAAGGGCCTCAAAAGTTATTCTTCATTGAAATTAACCGTCGCTCTACAAGGGTTTGCCAGTAAAAGCCAGTTATGCCACTCTGTAAACGCTACTCACGTTTGCTTAAGCAAATTAAAAATAGTCACAGCGGCTAAGCGATGGCAAAGCAAAGGTGACGGAGTCTCTTCCTTTTCACTTCATTTTTGGAGCATACGTTTAGTCGGCGCACTTTCCATTTTTCATTTGAAGTTTTGTTTTTAATTCGCTTTGTATCAGCACACAACGCCTTTCCTTAGAACAATAGAACAAATATCAAAGCAAACATTGACGTATTTGTAGCACACGAGCGCGTGTTATCGCCCGCATGAATTGCACACTCACAGTGTTCCCTCTTCTGCTATTGACGCTACAAACAACAGCGCGCCAGAGCGCAATGACGTATGCAGCTAGCTTGGCTAACACTTAAGCAGCCGCGCTGCTCGCATACATTGTAGCTAGGCGGGCGTTCCACCTATTGTTGGCTTGACTTTGTTCAGCTGGCTGGCTGGCTGGCTGATGGCTACCACTTAACGAGCTTTAGCTGCTTGTGTTCACTTGCAACGCCTAAATTTATGCACTGCAACTCACTTGAATGGCAATCGCAATGGAAATTTGCATTATACGACGAAGTGCAGTCAGGAAGCGTGTGACAGGTATGCATCAGTGTACTGCGAAGGCTCTAAGTAAATAGCCACACACACACACACATTCTTGCATGTATGTGAGCAACGAAATGTGCTTGTTGCCAGACATTTGCATATTTCCGTGTGTGTGTTTGCCAAAATGGTTGCATATTGTTACGCTTTCGAGAGCGCTCTAGCAACACATTTGCTCATTTTGCTAGCAAGCATCGTCCGCCCGCCCGTATGCCATCGCGTGCACGCACACAATCACACAATGACTAAATACATTCTCACACATTTTCGCACTTAGATATATTTAAGTGACGCCAGCTGCTGTGTCTGTGCGCCGTCTAAAATTTGATCATTTCGCTTGGTTGCCTGTCATCTTCTCAAGCGCCACTCAGTTCGTCGCCACTTCGCTTTCCCACTTTATACAAATACATTGTATAACCCAGCTCCCTTTTTATATATTCTGTAACTCTAACTTTTTATCTCTAAGCATGCGATGCTGCAGCTCGTTGACTCGCTAAACAAAGTAGAAAGGAAAAAAGCCACGGAAAATGACAAAATTATGAACGTCTTGGAGCTTACTTTGCCGCTTTGGCACAGTGTTGACTCCCACTTGCTGGCAAAGTTGCATAATCAGAATTTATGTATTCTTGAATTATTATTTTTCCACTCAACGTTACTTCGTTGCATGCTTGATTTGCTGCTGCTCAGCTGGCAGTCAACTGTGAGCGCGTAAATTTAAAATTCATTACCCAAACTGAATGTGGCGAAGATGCACAAATGTGGCGACAGGTGATTGCAGCAAGTCACCTGAATGACGGTGCGTATATCCTAAGCTATATCCTGCAGTGTTTTATCTGAAACATTTCGAAATCGAGCAGAGAAATTGTGATTAAGCGCAGGATTATGTTGTCTGCATTATATTTACCTTAAATCAGACTAGCTTTGCAATGTAGGACATTAGCATGCTATAAAAACAAATACCGATTATTTTCTGAAACCTTCTCTTAGCCTGTTATTCTCTACCGACTGGTCCTGTTTACCATATATTTGTGCCGAAGGCCACATTTAGGTTCAATAACCAGCTACATACCTCCAACAAAAATATAAATTACATAAACTGAAATTTTTGGCAATTAAATACAAAAATACAAATAGCAACTCCTACGCCGCATTTATAATATGTATACATATTTGCCATGAGAATATAAATTATTATCCACAAATATCAAATGACAGAGAAATGATTTTCTATGAATTTTGAGTGCTTCATCATTCGAATAACTCATTTATTATTATTTTTATTTTATTAATGCCTGGAGGAATACTTTGCTTTTAAAATATATCGTACAAAGCGTAGAAAATAATGCCCTTTTACACATAAGGGTAACAAAATTTTAGCTTTTGTTTTGTCACATGAAAACTCATATCGAATTATGAATGACACGTCAGGTTTTCTTGTGACATCAAAATATATATTTTCTTAAAAAGTACAAACATTTGCTACATTTAGAGAAACTATTGCTTAATATAGAAGTAATAATTATAAATTTCGTAAATATCTGGCTACTGTAAGGTCCTCTTTAAGCCTCCAGTAATAATCTGCTAGCATTTCGAGCGTTCCTTCATTAAGAAAATGTTCTGATGGAGCCTGTCATCTTGTTCGTCACCCGCAGCACCCAAATTTTCCGGAAAGAAATCCAGTTGAGTGTCCACCATATATATTTGTAAGAATATATTATATCTAGCTTTATATGACATTATAGGATTTGAATAAGTTTAACTATTTTTCTGATTTATGGTTTCCAAGAAAATCACAAAACAGACAACAGGCGAGATATTCCTGATCATTCAGTTTTTCTTCAAAGAACTCATCTTATATCAGCTGCCGTATTTTTTGTACCTACATATATTCCCTCTTTAATTTTGGACTCGCTGAATTTGGTGAGTTTCTCTTTCAGATATACAAATAAACTGCCATCTCTAGGCATAGCGTTTACAAAATTGTTTGTCAGGCCGAGTTTTATTTGCAATGGCAATAAAAGACTGTCATCGGGGCTCACTAAAGGTTCAGTTTTAACATTATTATGGCCCGGAGTGCATGATTTACGCTTGAGCCACACTCTCTTTGAGCCTTTGGTTCGGTCCAAATCATTAGTATATCAAATGGCATATGATCTCGTTTAGACCAAACTAATAGCAGTCTAACACACGTTACACAACATTTATGTAGAACCCAGGATTTATCCTCACAGGAAATTCAAAATAGTAAAATATCTGAATATCTATGATACCTGGGTCTGTATTTGGTGGAATTAGAAGAGTACGCCGTATTTTGAATTTCTAAAATGGTGTCAAAGCATTAATGAGGAACGCTACTGACAATAACTCATCAAATAGAAGTGTGCGATTGCTAGGCACGAGGCATAAGTTTTCAATCATAACAACGCTGGGTCTCATGGTACTACACCGGTTAAATACCGCCTTATAGCACAGACTTCGCACCCTCCGACTGCCATTTGTTCTGGTCAATGCCGAACTCGTCACTGGAATACGGTTCACATCAGAACAGGGTATCAAAACTTGGCTTAATATATTCTTGGCAGCCAAACAAGTTCTTTTGGGGATGGAATTCACAGATTGCTAAATAGATGGGAAATGGAAGTCCTCAAAGTGTGTTAATATATATATTATGTAACTGACTACTAACTAAGACAGTTCTACTGCTGTGGAAATGCAACCCAGCTTTACATATGTACTCGTGTGTATTATTCTTGCATTGCTTTCAAAAATTTGGAACCAATTTGTACCTACTGCTTCCAAATAAATAATTTAAGTTCAGCGTTAGACTTAATTTACTCTTTCTTTAGTTTTACTTTGCCATTGGAATGCCACATATGGCAGAAATATCTGTTAAGCCGAGCAATAATCGTATGTTTGATGATACTACTTGAATGAAGTGGTTGTCACGTAGCTTTTTTATTGTCGTGTGTGGAAGTGTGAGACGTGCATAAAAGCCAAACGTTGTTCAGCGTTGATAGTAATTAGTTAACAGTACATTTGAAATTTAACTGCAAATTCAGCAGAATTTCAATGGAACTTGATAATTAGCAGCTGTATGTTCTAGCATTACCTTATGGCATAATTTGGGCAGTTCGTAAATTTGGAAGCATGCTGGATTGCTACTACTGAAATAGCGCTGCTTGAAATTAGTTCAGAGATGGACGGTAGATGGTCAAGGCAGCGGATGGGTAATGCAGATGAGAGAAGAATACATATATAGTAACAAAGAGCTAACATAACAGAATAGGAACGAAGAAAACTTCCTCAACACCACTTTAAAAACTTACTTTTTTCTTTCATTTAAAATATAACCTAAAATCACAAAAAAAAAAGCCGCAGACAAGTTTACGTGATTTTAATGAATATTTAAGTCGTCAGTGACTTTTTGTTGGCCTTTAGTTTACGTACTCAACTCGAACTTTTGTGCGCCTCCTCCCGTCAACGCACTGCCTTCAACAGCCTCTAAGCTCAGCTCATTACTTTCCACTTGTGCGCGGGCGGCATAAGCAATTCGCTACTGAACCAACTCAATTCCATTTCACTTAACTTTTATCTTGAACGCCACTCGACTTTTGCCTTGATTTCTACTTAGTCGCTCGTTCTTGTTGTTGCTGCTGCATTGCAATTGCACTTGTGTTTAAACAACCAACCAATGACAACTGAGTCGTCGCTTCTCTTCTTCTCTTGACTGATTTCTTTATCAACTTGACTTTACGCGCTTACGCTATTTCAATTCGCTTGCACCAACGCCGACGTCAACCCTTCGCTGCGCTTTTGTTTTACCGATGTTGCTAAGCGACGCAGCGTTTATGTCGCTCATTTTTGCGCCTTCTAAAGTTCAAGGAAAGGCGTATTACATACATACAAATGTATTATATATATAGAGACATTTGTTCGCTGACTTGTAACTGCAGTTAAACAGATCAGCTCACTCACAGACAATTGAATTTATTCAAGGATAAGGTGTTCAAGTCTTGTGGGTTATGTAAAGTTTGCTCGATATTGTACCAAAAATTGCAACACTTGCATTCTTACGAACTTTCGCCTTTACTCAAAGCGGTTTATTCAAGGTATTTTCTAATGGGTGTTTAAAAAGCTCTTAAATTTTAGTTTCCTTAATTATAAGTGCAAAGTTCTGCTGAAATTGTAAATAG